GCCTAGAAGCCGAAGATCTGACCCACCCAGACTCACCACCACTGGTGCACATATATGCTGCATGGGGACCTAAGGATGGGCACTCCCACCCTGCTGCCACCACCACTGGCACTTGAGGACCAATCTGCCTAGGGTAACTGTCCCCAGTAAAGTTTGCCACAGCCTCCACAAATAAGCATGGCCTAAGCCACTGAGGAACTTACAGATACCACTGATGCTGATTACAACCAAAGAAATCATGTAGAGGCTACACTAGTATGCCCACCCACTAATAATCAAAGCCAAAGCACCCTACCCAACTAATGCTATAAATACAGTTTTAGGAAAAACTAATCTTTCCCTATGAAAGCCAATGCATAAAATTGGAAGATTTGACTATTGCACCAGATACATACATATCAATGTAAGAACCAAAGAAACATGAAAAAGGAAGGAAACATGACATCTTCAAAGGAGTGCAGTAATTCTCCAGTAACATCCTAATGAAAAGGGAAACTATGAAATGCCTGAAAAAGAATTCAAAATATTGATACTAAAGAAAGTCAGAGAGATATAAGAGAACACAGGTAAGCAATACAAAGAAGTCAAGAAAACAATTCATGATCTGAATCAAACAAATTCTGAGACTGAAGAATTCAATGAATGAAATAAAAGTACAATAAAGAGCTTAAATAATAGACCAGATCAAGCAGAAGAAAACTTTCTAAACTTTAAAGACAAGTGTTTTGAAATACACCAATCAGCAAATAAAAAGAAAAGAAAAGAAAATAAAAGAATAAAAAAAGGAAGAAAGCCCTACCTGACATATGAGACACCATGAGGAAACCAAATATTTAGATATTAGGAGCTCCAGAAGGAGAAAAAGTGGGCAAAGGCATTAAAAAAATTTTAATGAAATAATAGCTAAAAACTTCCAAAGTCTTGCAAGAGATAGACATTCAAATACAGAAAACATAAAGAACCCCAAATAGATTTGTATCAAAAAAGTCATCCCCAAGGCTCATTACATGCAAACTGCCAAAATCAAAGACAAAGAGAGAATTCTAAAAACAGCAAAAGAAAAGTGTCAAGTCACATATAAGGGAATCTCCATCAGACTAACAGCAGGTTTCTCAGCAGAAACCTTACAGGCAACGAGAGAATGGGATGATATATTCAAAGTGCTGAGAGAAAAAAAAAAAAAAAACTGACAGCCAAGAATACCATATCCAGCAAAACCATCTTTCAAAAAATGGAAGAGAAATAAAGTTGTTCCCAGATCAGCAAAAACTGAGATAATTCATCACCACACGAAATGCTTAAAGAAATCCTACATCTGGAAGTGAAAGAACAAAGTCTACAAATATGAAAACTCAAAAAGTATAAAATTCACTGATAGAATAGATATACAAATGAGAAAGAGAAAAAAGTCAAACATTACCACTACAGAAAACCATCAAACTGCAATTATAAACAATAAGATAGAAAGAAATAAGGATATACAAAACAACCAGAAAACAATTAACAAAATGACAGGAATAAGTCCTTACTTATCAATAATAACCTTGAATATAAATGGATTAAATTATCCACTTAAAAGATATAGAGTGGTTGAATGGATTTTTTAAATGAGCCAACTATATGCTGCCTAAAAGAAACTCACTTCACTGTAAAGACACATTGAAGAAATTGAAAAAATATTTCATGCAAATAGAGATCAAAAGCAAGCAGGAGTGGCTATACTTAGAATAGACTTTACGTCAAAAACTATAAAAAGAGACAAAGGAGGGTATTATATAATGATAAAAGGATCAATTTAACAAGAGGATGTAACAATTCTAAATATATATGCATCCAACACTGGAGCACCCAGATATATAAAGCAAGTATTACTAGATCTAAAGGGAGAGACAGACTTCAATACAATAACAGTTGGGCACTTTAATGCCAGACTCACAGCATTGGACATAACATCTAGGCAAAAAAATTAGCAAAGAAACATTGGATTTAAACTGCACTTTGGACTAAATTGATCTAACAGACATTTACAGAATATTTAATGCAACAGCTGCAGAATATACCTTATTCTCATCAGCAAGTGGAACATTCTCTGGGATAGACCATATGTTAGGACACAATACAAGTTTTAACAAATTTTAAAACATTGAAATCATATCAAGTATCTTCTCAGATTACACTGGAATAAAACTAGAAATCAATACCAAGAGGAACTTTGGAAAATATAGAAATGTATGGAAATTAAACAACATGCTCCTGAATGACCACTGGGTCAAGGAAGAAATAGGGAATAAATTAAAATTGCTTGAGACAAATGAAAACAAACAACCTACCACAATTTATCAGAGACATCAAAAGCCAGACAAAGAGGGAAGTTTACAGCAATAAACACCTACATCCAAAAAGTAGAAAGATTTCAAATAAACAATCCAATAGTGTACCTCAAGGAACTAGAAAAGCAGGAACCAACCAACCCATAAATAACAAATAACCGAGCAACCCCGTTTTTAAAATGAGCAAAAGATAAACAGACACTTCATCCAAGAAGGTATACCTATGGCAAATAAGCACATGAAAAGATACTAAATATTAATAGTTATTAGCTAAATGCAAATTGCAAAGTATGGTGGTATAAGATACCACCATACACCTATAAATGGTTACAGTAAAAAAGAAGCTGATAATATCAAGTGCTAGTGAGGATGTAGAGCAACTGGAACTCTCATACACCGTTGGAAGACATGCAAAATGCCACAGCCTTTTTGAAACCATTCAGCGGTTTCTTACAAATATAAATAATACACTTATGATACAACCCAGCATTCCCATTCCTGATTGTTTACCCAAGGAAAATAAAAATGTATGCTCTCACAAAAACCTATACATAAATGTTTTATGGAATCTTTATTTTTAATTGCCCAAAATCTTACATGTTCTTCCATTGGTGAATGGGTAAAATGTGGTATATTTATATAATGGAACACTATCGAGCAATAAAAAGAAACTACTGATACATCCAATGGCATGGATAACACTCAAATGCATTATTCCAAGAGAAAGAAGGTACACTCAAAGACTACATACTGTATGATTCCATTTATGTGACATTTTGGAAAAGGCAAAATAATAGAATAGAGAAGAGATCAGTGGTTCCTAGCAGCTTGGCCTGGGGAGCGTGGTTAACTAGAGTAGAGCATGAGGGATTTGCAGTGATAAAAGATATATCTTCACTCTGGTGACTGCACAACTGTATGCATTTTTCAAAACTTGCAGAACTGTATGCTAAAAATATAATTTTACTGTATGTAATTATACCTTAATTTCTAAAATGTAATTTATGGTGTTGAATCAATAAAACCACAGAATCCTTTCTAAAAAGAATATTATAAATGCTGTGGAAGGAAAAAAAAGACCCATTTTGGACAAGATGGTCAAAAGAAGGCCTCTGTAAAGAGAGTTCAAATGAAAGATAAGGAAACAGTTAGGAGAAGAGTAGCCCTGTGGTAGGAAACAGTTTGGAATGTGGTAGGAAAGTTCAGAAGGCCAGAGGTATTTATTTCTAAGAATAGCTTCCATTCATTAATTGTTATACACCAAGCCTTGTGTTAAGTTCTTTACATACAGAATTTTACTGACTCCCCACAATAAATCAGTGAAGTGGCTGTTTTTAGTTCCCTTTTACAGAAGAAGAAAGTTGAGGCTTTAAAAAGGTTGGTTAATTTACCCCAAAAATGTCAGTATCAGGAAACAAACCTGGGTTTCTTTGCCTCCAAAGCTCATTCTCTTTATACCAGTGTCTAGATAAATAACAATTAATTGTATCCTTTTTGTTTAATCTTAAAATTTTTCACTTAAGTTCAGAGACACGTTAGCAAATATACTTCACATTTTTTTCTATGACATGCTGGCTGACTTAGACAATACTGAATAATCCCTTAAGAATGACTGGAGACCTAAAGGCCTTCCTTTGACAGACTCAAAGAAACAATGTAGGACAGAGATCCTTGAGAGATGAGAGAACAAAGATTCAGATAACTTGCATTTAAGTTTTGAGATTTTGTGTCATTGGCTTCTAATAAGACTTCTTGTCCTAAAGACTTTATCATCTTAAGTCCAAAGTTTCTTAAGTTTTTAAAGCTATGAAACTTTCTGCTATTTTATGACCAACCCCAACACCCTACAATTACCTCTTCACTGTGTTTTCTGTTACATTTTTTAAAAATAATATTGTCAATTTTGTCCATTCTGTCTATGTAATCAGCTCTAAGTTCTTTCACCTGGAGACCTATCTTTGCATTCCAGTAGTTTAGCTTGAGGAACATGCCCTTCAGGCACCTGCAGAAATGTTATGGTGATCAGTTTCAAAGCAGGAAATGGGAAAAAACTCCCATAGCCTGAAATGTTCTTCCTTTGAATAGCAAGTTGATCTTGGGCCAGAATGGGCCAGGTGGGTACACAGGCCTCAAGAAAATAAGTTTTGGTATTCATTTGATATCCACTTTAACAGATCTTTAAAGACTCGATAAAACAAAGCATATTTTACATTTAATAAAAAAGATATATTTTTAATTTCACTGTGTGGAATGAATGTTAAATATTGATATTAAGATAGTGGTTACATCACGGTGGGGGAGGAGAGGTATACAATAGGGAAAAGACCCACAAGGGCTTAACAACATACTCTTAATGATAATTATGGTTTTCCTATCTAGAAAATTATCTGAGAAGGTTTAAATATATATTAATCTCAGGTCTCAAAGAAGAGTTTGCTCTTTCTTTTTTCCCATGCTCTGTCTATATCCCTAAAATGTCCTTACTCCACATTATTGCTAGATCATGTAGGTAGTTACCTATGCACAGGAGTGCTTTATGGTTCAAGACATGTATGGATTTTAAATCTTCCAGACTTTCCCTAAGTTCTCTGCTTAAATTCCATTTTCCCCTCCACACATTATTAAATGCTCATTATTAAATGCTCTGTCTTGCAATGTGTCAAGACTTACAATTCAAGGAGGTTCTTCTTTGAAAACTGCAGAGATGTAGATGCTTGAGGGTACTCATCCACATCTGTTTCTTGCTTATCCTGTTTACCCAGGTCCTGGTCATGCTTAGCTTCCAGCTCCAACATACCCTGGTAAAGATGATGATGGAAGCAAAGCAGAACAAAAGGTTACTACAAGATGTGGTAGTTCTTCCAGCCCTACCCAATCCCCCTTCTCTGGGGTCAACCACATAGTCCTCTCTGAGACTGGAGCTTTCTGATGCATCTGTAAGCTAAGCAGACATGCCCTTCTGCTCTGTCTACAGAGGAAGGCTGAGGCAGGGGCATGGAGAGAATCGGTGTGTACAGGGAGAGCTCTTTTCAGTCCTGATGAGTAATCGAATTCTTTCTGACCATGGATTCCAAAACTCCACTCAAATTAGATGATTGCTCTGATCTTTTAAAAAAAAATCAATGTCATAAAAAAGAAAAAGTGGCAGGACTATTCCATATTAAGAGTCTAAGGAGATATGAAAACCAAACATATTGCATACATCTTTTGGGGATGCTGGTTTAAAAATATGGCTGTAAAAGACATTTGGGGGACAATTAAAGAAATTAGAATATTGAGAGAATTGAGATTACTATATTAATGCTGATTTCCCCAGATGTGATAACAGTATTTTGTAAGAGAAAGTTTTATTTTTAGAGATGCTTTCTGAAGTAAACAGGAATGAAGTATCATGCTGTCTTTGACCTACTTTTAAATGGTTCAGAAAGTTTCATCTATTTATATACATAAAGATAAAGCCAATGTGAGAAATGTGAAAGATTTTTAAACACAGGTGTAGGAATATGGTTAATCATTGCATAATTCTCAGTTGACCTTAAGTTGTTTCATATCAAAGAGTTTGGGGGAAAAACCCTACTCTATGAGTTTGATCAATAAAATTTACTTTTTTGTTTCTGTATTCTTTGCCTTGTTCTCAAAAAGCATCCCAAGACATGTTCTGCTATTTCAAGTCTCTGCATGCAAAAATCGGCAATAATTTATCCTGGAACACTTCTTTAGTAACTATTTATGAAATGTTTCTTCTGTCCACTGAAGAAGTTTGATCTGAATTTCCTGTATTTCAGCAGAACTATTTTTAAACTGGAAGGAGAAAAGTTTGGAGGAGGGAGAATAGATCAGTCTCTTTTTGAAATGTCTGTGTAAACTACTGGTCAAGTCAATAGAAATAACTAACATTCATGTAACTCTTTACAAATTAGTTTCATATGCATTATTTATTTTCATTCTCATGTGGTCATTTGTATTTAGTGACTTACCCAAGGTCATAGAGTGTAGAGAATTAAGTGGTGACCCCAAACAAGGAATGCCCATGTCCTAAAACAGAACTAGGACCCCATGCATATTATGAAAAAGAGTCTTTGCAGATGTAACTAAGAATCTTGAGATAAGATCATCTCGGATTACTTGAATGGGTTCCTAAATCCAATGACAAACATCCTAATGAGAGACAGAAGAGGAGAAGACACAGACACAGAGAAGACCACGTGAGGATGAAGACAGGAGACGAGGAGTTATGTAGCTACAAGCCATTGACGGCCTGGAGCCCCAGAAGCTTGAAGAAGAAGGATTCTCTCCTGGAGGCTGCATTAAGGGTGAATAGCTGAATTCTACTGGAAGATAATCTGTGAGCAGGGGGTATGGTCATATGGTGATTTGGTCATATGGTGATTTGGTCATATGGTGATTTGCTTGAAGGTGAGAAATGTCACAGTTATTTCATAAATTCCCAAGGACAAAAATAACATATAATTCACTTTTTTTTTTTTTTGCATGGGAAGGCTAGGAAGTCCTTCATGTGGTAACAGCAGTATCCAGTGGGAATAATGCCATCCCCTGCCTCCCTCCTGATTTCAAACTTTGAAGTTCTGCACCAGTTAGAAGGAAACCCTCAGATATTTTCTTACCACTTTGAGATATGTGGTGTGAAGTTCTTCTCTTCAACCTACTGTGTCATTTAAGTGTCTCTCTTACCCATTTTTCAGTGTCTACCTTGTGAAGGAAGTCAGTTTGAGGGTTTTCGGAGGAAATGTCGTCCTCGTCATCTGATCGGTCTAAGATGTAGTCCACTTTGATAATTTCCTTTAGCAAACTGCAAGCCACATAATCCAAACAGAGGCTGTTATTATGCCTTTGGGCCAGAGCTTGGGCCTGCCCTACTCCTTTCTACATGGAGAACACTGAGATCTTTCCCAGCCCCAGGGAGCACCTGCTATCCCCGTACTGAGTTCTATTCTGTGTGAGTAACACCTTGCATGGTATATCTCACAAGTATAAATAGAGGGGCTGGATAAATAACAATTGGCTGAATCCATAAATTAACAGTGAGATTCCAAATTCCAAACTAATTGCAGCTCTGTGCATATATGTGTATAAATGAATGTGCAAAATCAACAAATAAGTAAATTAATATCCTGTTTTAAAAAGTGGAGTTTAAATACATTATATGGTTCAAATGGCGGAGAGGAGTAGGTCTACAGCGCCCTCTTGACCTCCACCCCCCAGCTGTCCTCCCCACAATGTTTACTAGCTTCTTTATTTTCAACAGAGATTCTAGGCATAAATAAGCAGAGACGTTTATGTATGCATGTCTGCATGTATATATATTGTACAGAATAGACCCTTTAAAATATACGTGGGAGGATATTTATATACTCCATTCTGTGAATACATCAAAGTACTTTGAATTTCTTATTTAATGACCTATTTTGGAGTCCATTTCATATTAGTACATACGGAGCTGTTTCGTTTTTTAAATGGCAATATAGTATTCCATTGCGGGGCTGTATAATAATTTTCCGATCAGTTTTTTTATTAACCGATATGTAGAATGTTTCCAATCATTTGCTATTACAAACAATGCTGGAATGAATATCCTTACACATCTATATGTTGTAGTTGTGTATGTGTACAGCATATCTATTGGAAAACCCGAAAAGTAAAACTTCTAGGTCAATAGATATGTATATTCTAAATTTTGATAGATTTTTCACAAAGTATGCTTTAAAGAGGTTGAATCAATTTTCACTCCAAGCAAAAATGTGCCTGTTTCTAACTCCTTGTCTAAATCCATGTGCTATTAAAGTTTTTGATCTTTGCCAACTTGGTATGTTTAAACTGGTATCTCATTTAGTGTTAGTCTCATTTTATGTGTGAGGTTGAGTATCTTTGCCTATATGCATAAAACTCATTTGTATTTCCTTTTCTAAAATAAGTGTGTTAATAGTCTTTGCCTATTCCCTAACACAGTGTTTAATATTTTGCTTAATTAATTAATACCACACTTATTCATATTTTGCTGGAGAGCCTATGTGTTCTCTCTCGTACGCTTGCGAATGGGTCACAATAAATGTGTGATATGTGTCTGTAAAAGTAGTTCCAAGTCTATGGGATTTGAACCCTGAGGCTGGAGGTGTTCTCAGGGTTGAGGGGGTATTGAGTCACTTCACATCTATCCTGCTTAGAAAGGGATCCTGGAATCTATACAGATTTATATAGAATGAATAAATATTGCTTATATGAAAAAAAATTAAATGAAAAACTGCCCAAAGTTTACAAATGCATATACTACTATCTTCAATAAATTATAAATGCATTTAAGAACATCTTTGATATCATAATAGCTTTCTTGCCACATGAGGGATTCCTGGAAAATCTTTTACCTTAAGAATGTTTTTCTAGTTAAAAAGGTTGTTAATCATAGCTAAATTAGTATGCATTTTTTAACATGTACTGGCAAATGTAAATATGTGTTTATACCACTGTTTGTGCTCCCTCTATGCCAGAAAGTATTTTAAATGGCTTAGATCTTTAGCAGGTGAAGATAATGAAGCCACAAAACAATCCACATGTTTTCTCAAATTGAGATTAGAGTCTAAACAACTTTTTTTTTTAATGGGTATCTACCCAGTTTATGATTGCGGGCCCCTTTAGCTTCTCATAAGGCCTACTAGAGTAAATATTCATGAGTTTAAATTTAGATAAATTATAGGGAAGACTGTCAACCTAGACCCTGAACCTGGAAATCCCATCATTTGCATACCACTGGCCCAAAGATGTCTGCAGTTGGGACCCTAGAAACTGCTTCTGCAAGCTCAGTTCTGACTTACTCCTGCATTACACTTTTAGTCACATTGAGCTTTTGGAAAAAGCTATTGTTTTTCTCAGTCAACTCTTGTTCCTGGCAGTCCATCTTCATCGGCAGAGACATCTCGTTATTTAGATTTGTGGGTGTGAGAGCCATTTCTTCGGCACTGTAAGGACAATAACGACAAGAGGGATTTTATGGCAGAATTGGGAACCACATCCTCTTCATCCTCTTCGCTGACACCAGGCTGACTTCCTCCTCAGGGCATTTGGCTTTAATTCCTCCCCTCCCAAACTGGCTGTTCATTGTAAGGGACCCCAAGCAAGCTCTTAGATTTCTCTTCTCAAGTATATATGAGAAAATCCTGCATGGCTGTCTCCAAGGACACACCTCTAGAGAGGTGCCTTGGCTGGTAAATGTGCATTTTGAATGCTCGAAGGAGAATACTATAGTGGAATATATAATAATCAGCCTGGAAGAATGGGAACTTTCATTTTTATAATCTCTTTCTGATTATATAATAATATGCATATTGTAAAAAGTAAAAAGGGCAAAAGAAGAAAGTAAAATCATTGGTACTTCAGAGATAACCAGAGATAACCCCAGAGACATCCAGACTTAACCACTGTTAACATTTTAGTACATTTTATTTCTGCTTCTAAATTTGGGGTTCATTTTATTCTTTTCCCATTGTTGACAACTAGGTTATTTCTAATTGCTTAGTAGTATAAATAATGCAATAATGATTATCTTCGTTTAGTAATTTTCAGTGCATGTCTAATTAGTTAAGATACTTCCTTAGAGGTGGAATTACTGGTCCAAAGGGATTTGACCCGATTTTTAATGATTTAGACAAATATTCCCAAATTGCTTTCCTAAAGGTCTAACTAATATACACCGGTATCAGCTGTGTGTAGGAACAGCCACCTTCATTCCAGTCTGATAGGTGAGTGTTCACTGAAGAGCAGAGGAGCGAATTGTTGGAGTACTTAAGTAGTGTGAAAAGTAACAGGGAAAGGAAACAGGAAAGAAGGTAGAGATGTGTGAGATAGGCTCTGGGAGGCTCATAGAAAAAGCTATAGGGAAAGGATAGATGCAAAACGTAACTCCTAGTTATAGGCAGAAATCAGAAGGGTGTGTGCAGGCCAAATAAGAAGAAACTTCTCTTCTGTATATTCAAGTGAGTGGTAACAGTAGATTGGCCTAGAACTAGAGGGTGGCCTGGCTCCCAGCACCCTGAGGGAAAAGAGGGGATGACAGACTCATGGGAAGAGAAGGCCTTTTTCTATAAGGGTGATTTCTGGCAGGGACTAGCAACAGGGAGGAAGAACCAGGGAGAAGGGATGCCCTGGGAATCACAGAGATGTTAAAACCATTTGCACAAACAATGGCTTGGTTGATCATTCTGTGGCAGAATTGAGCTTTGTTCTTGACCTGTGTGGTATAAAGGGGGCCCCTGTGAAAGAGAAGCATCAGGAAAGAACTAGAACCTTTGACGTGTGATGGCGCCATGCTTTTTAACTTTGAATGTGATAAAAAATAAACCTTTGATCTCCCTCAGGAAGGTCACTATGGCCTGCCAATTTCATCACAGCCCCTATCTGGACAGTTTTGTCCGTTTCCTGAGGTTGTTAAGCATTACAAAGGCAATTCCAAGCTCTGAAAAGTGAACAGACGCTGAGATCTGCCTTGTTTACTGTTTTTCTGGTCCAAAAAATAGAATCATAAAAATAATAACATTTCCTTATTCTGATAACGCTCTATCATCTCAATGACTCCCCCAAGAGTGATTTCAAAGAAAACATGGTCTGTCAATTCAGGCACCTACCCAAATTCTGCCTCCATACATTCTCTCACATTTTACATAACAATTAGAATCCTAACAATGGCTTATGTCTATGCAGCCCCTAACAGATTACGAAGTGCCTTTCACATATTTTCTCATTCAGTTCCCACAACAACATTGAACAGAGGGTATTATTCCCATTTTATGTGTGTATTAATGGAGCCTATGGGAGATGATGTGATTTACTTACAATCAGATATAAGAAGTAAAGCCAGGACTCAGAGCTTCCACGTCCTCACAGCTACTGATAAAAAGATTTTCCCCACCTCCCACCTCCAAAGATGATCTAGATCAGGGCTCTCCAATAGAACTTTCTGTGTTGATGAAAATGTTCTCTACACTGTTCGATACAGTAGTTACTAGCCACACGTTTCTATTGAGTACTTGAAATGTGGCCAGTGCAACTGAGGAACTGAATTTACAGCCACACGTGCCCAATGACTACCATATTGGACAACTCAGAATTTTCTAGAGCAACGATCATCAAACTATGGCCTGCAGGCCAAATCCAGCCTGCCACCTGTTTCTAGAAATGACATTTTATTGCAACACAGCCGCACCCATTCCTTTACAAATTGTCTATGACTGCGTTTGCACTGCAATGAGAGGACTGAATGGCTGCAAGAGAAACCACTTGGCATAGAAAGGCTAAATGTTTACTATCTTGCCCTTTACAGAAGAAGCATGCCAACCTCTGGTCTAGACTATCACCTTCTTCTATGATGTTGGGTGTTTGCTATAATCCATCAGTTGAATGCAGTAAATAAGAGCTTAAATTTTGGAGAGTCAACCTGAGCTCATAATCTAGCATCAACACTTCACAGCTGGGCCTTATCTTATTGTGTGGGGGCCTCACTTTTTCCTCTGTAGAATGGGGCTAACAATAGTAATACCAATATTATTAGAGATGTGAGGAGTAAACTCGTGCTTAACATGGCATCAGGTAAATAGCAAACACTTGCCAATGTTATCGATTTATCTATTAAAATAAAAGCAGTGGAAATAGGAGCATTAGTAAGGTTTCACTTCAAATAACACAGTAATAAAAATAATGCTTACACACATGCAGCACTTTCAGTTCATAAGGCACTTTCACTAAGTTGTTTCCTCTGACCCTCACAATTACCCTGTGGTTAGCCAACCATGGCACATCTTGTCATCTCTATTTTATCAGAGGAAGAAACTGAAACACAGAGATGACCTGGGACTTGTCCAAAGTTTTATTGCTAGAAAATGGTAGAATCAGCATGAAAAGCTGCAAATGCTGACTCTAAGTTTTGCAATCATCCTACTATTACACATCAAGTCTATGCCTAGTATGTCTTAATGGGTTGGCTGACAGCCATCTTACCTCACAAACAATCCATCTTTTGAAGCTAACGTTTGACTAGTTACATAGTGCAAGTCCTTAGTGCTCAAAGCGTGGTCTGCAGGCCAGCAGCCTCAGCGCTTCCTGGGAGCTTGCCAAACATACAGCTACTAGGTCCTCCTACCCAGACTCATTGAACCAATGTCTGCCTTTTAGCAAGATTTCAGGTAATTCATACACATAGGACTAAGTTGGGAGTTACTCATACCCTAGACCTTTTAAAATAGACTCCCTCTTTTCCCTACACCCTATGTCTTCATTCCTGTATGTTTACCCCATTGGCTTTCTAGGATTGTTTGGTACAACTGGAGTGAATCCCTCCTCCTTCCCCCATATCCTATAAAAACCTTTAAATTACACATTCAGAGAAGCATAAGTTTCAGTTACAAGGAACAATCAACTATTTTAAAAGACAGTTGATGAAATTGCTAACTTACATTGTGAGGGGATTTCTTCAGGCCTGACCACCCAGATCACCCTCTTCAGTTCCTGCTACCTGGACAATTTGGGATCTCAGAAATTTGTCAAAGCCATGGTACTAATAATCAGGGATCTGATGTCACTACAGGCTCCTGACAAGGTCATAATGAGATGGTACACTGTGAAATAGTATATACCTGGAGATAGCTTTGCTCTTGCCAATTTGGTAATCCCAAACATCTATGAGTCCAATGGAATAGACTAGCAACCGTCAAGTTTTCTTGTTTCAGTGGTGCCAGAGCCTCCTTTCCTCAGCTCCAAAGGCAGACAGGAAGCCATCTGACTGGTAAACACCAAGGCAGGTAAGTGTGCAGTTGGACTTTCTTTCCCTTTATGACATTTCACTTGGAATGCAGAGCCTGTAACTCCCATCACAAGATTCTAGGCATGCAGTGCTCTCCTGACTGGCTTCTACCTTGCCCTTCTAGCCTGCCTCTCAGTCTCCTCACTTTTCTTGCTAACTCTGGAAACTAAGTCCTTCTTCTACCCCAGCCCTCTGTTCACCCATCTCCTGGCCTCTTATATGGTGTTCTGGGATGTTCTTCCAACCTCAGCTTCTTCTGCCACATCTGCTCCTTTCATCTCTCACCTGAACTGAACATCTGGCTTTCCCACAGAGTATCAAAGACCGACAATGAAGGACATGTCTTCTTCTACTCATTCCCCACTCAGCAGTAATGAGCAAGCATTTGATCTTCTTTTTTTTTTTTTGAGTCAGACTCTCGCTCTGTCTCCCAGGCTGGAGTGCAGAGTCACAATCTCAGCTCACTGCAACCTCCACTTCCAGGATTCAAGTGATTCTTCTGCCTCAGCCTCCTGAGTAGCTGGAATTACATGCATCCTTGGCTAATTTTTGTGTTTTTAGTAGAGATGGGGTTCTACCATGTTGGCCGGGCTGGTCTCGAATTCCTGACCTCGAGGATCCACCCATCTTGGCCTCCCAAAATGCTAGGATTACAGGCGTGAGCCACTGCACTGAGCCTAAGCATTTGATCTTCTTGCAAACCAGGGATGCTCCTACTTTATACCTCTGTGACCTCGTCTCCTTTGAAGTCCATACTTCCTCTTATTATCACACTTTTACAACATACCTTCACCTTATTCCAGGACTTCAGTGCCAGGTTCACATTTCCCTCTCTACCATATCGTCTCTCATTATTCTTAGTGAACTCGGCACCCATGGAAAGGGCCTAACAGTCTGACCTTACAATTCCTAAGCCCCTGCTCTTAAGACATTCCTCTTCACCTGTCAAAAACATTTAGCACCATGGAGATAAAATACAGAACAGTTCTTAAAAACATCAACTTTAGAATCACATCAGTGTTTGAAACCTGGTTTTGCCATTTATTAGCTTTCTGGTTTGGGTCCAAATTTAATCTCTTTGTCTGAAAAATTGGTTTACTAAGATCTACCTAACTGGCTTGTTGAGAAGATAAAGGCACCACGTGAGGAATGAGTTTCAGGTAGAGTGGCTGACACACAGTAGGTGCTCAAAAAATTTTGTTAAAGGAATGGAATGAATGCATACATGGTAGGCATGATTTTTTTTATGGCAATATTTTAGGTCTCATTATCACCCTGAGTATTTCTTCAGCCAAAAGCTCAAGTTCAGATGAGTCACCTCTCTTCTTACGGTCTGTACTGCATGCCCTACCTAGTTAGGAACCAGACTCCATCAACAGCCCTCCCCCAGTGCCTGCTGGGCTAGGATCCAGCCTTCAGTCCCCTCCTTATACCATGACTATGCTCCTAACTTTGGTTGTTCTGGGCGACCTTACATTTCTTTAGGAAAAAATCACAAAATTCTTATGACTAGTTCCATCACAAAATAATAACAATAATAGTAATAGCTACTACTTGCTGAGTGATTACAAATGTGCCAGGCAGTCTTCCAAGTGTTTTACATATATTACCTAATTTAATCCTTACCACCCTTTGAAAAGGAAGGGATCTTGGACTTAAACCCAAATCCAGTTAGTCTGGCTCCAGGGGCCATGCCCTAAAGCACCACTGTATAGAACACACTTCACACACTGGGTTCTCACAGTTACTCAGCCAAACTCTTCTCTTTCTTTTTTTTTTTTTTTTTTTTTTTTAGACAAGGTCTCGTTCTGTTGCCCAGGTTGGAGTTCAGTGGCACAATCATGGCTCATTGCAGGTTCGACCTCCTGAGCTCAAGTCATCCTCCCACCTCAGCCTCCCGAGTAGCTGGGACTACAGGCATGCACCACCACACCTGGCTAACTTTTGTATCTTTTTGTTTTTTGTAGAGACAGGGTCTCACCATGTTGCCCAGGCTTGTCTCGAACTCCTCGGCTCAAGCAATCCTCCTGCCTCGGCCTCCCAAAGAGCCAGGATTATAGAGATGAGTCACCATGCCTGGCCTCTTCTGTGTCTCTGGTTGACTCCAAAATATATGGGCCCCAACAGCCAGTTTTTGTCTTCCTCAGCTCCCTCCCACTCTGCCAGCTCCCTCTGTGGGCGGTGACCTTGCCTCTGCCTTACTGCACTGATCAAGGCCAGCTGATGAGAATCTTCTTTCCACTGACAACTCCTGTGTGTAGCCTCTTTTCCATTCAAAATATTCCTGTGTTTTCCCTCATCATCTCCCACTCCCCTTCTATCTCAGAGAAAGCACATGTCCACTCTCTTTCCTAAGGCTCCCTTCATTCAGACCCTTGTTGTTTTTTGGGGATTCTATTCCATTAATTCTAAATGCTGTTTGCAATTTCAAAACCCCTTTTTGAGTGCCTGTGCTGGCATTCTGCTGGAAGCTCCCAATTTCTTTGAGGAAACAGACGTGTAAGTATACTTCTGACATCCTCAGGCTCTGCCTCTGCACTGTTGCTTTGCTTCTGTATGCAAACCTGCTTCTGTTTTCTCTCTTTTAGGAAAAAATAATTTCTTCACTCTGTTTGAGCTGCCATCTTCTCTCTCTCTTTTTAATACAGATTTCTAAGAATTTCTCATGACACATTACTCATTACACATTCATATTTTAACTGCCTGTGGTATGGCTTGTTGATTGCAGGGGATTTTTGTTGTTTTTTGCTTATTTTCACAGTTTCAGAGCCTTCAGTCATCTAATTTCCCTGATGGGGTGGGAACAGTGCATTTGTTTCTTACACTTATTTGACCCCAGAGCCTTTTCTGTGCTCAAAGCAGTGTGTTTCATGGATTGTGCTTTGGGAAACCCTTTTTAAAGATTATGGAGAAGCCCGGCATGGTGGCTGATGCCTGTAATCCCAGCACTTTGAGAGGCTGAGGTGGGCAGATCACTTGAGGTCAGGAGTTTGAGATCAGCGTGGCCAACATGGTGAAACCCCGTCTCTACTAAAAACACACAAAAATTAGCCGGACGTCATGGCAAGCACCTGTAATCCCAGCTACTCCGGAAGCTGAGGCAGGAGAATGGCTTGAACCCGGGAGGTGGAGGTTGCAGTGAGCCGAGATCGCCACTGCACTCCAGCCTGGGCAACGCAAGTGAGACTCTGTCTCAGTAAATAAATAAAGAAATAAAGATTATAGAGAACGTAAGTGAAGTTCTCAGCCTACAGGAAGAATCACAAACAGCAGCACCCACAATCACAGGGCATCCCCATAGTTGCATCTTGGACTCATGACCTTGACCTTGACAGCTTTCCTGAACCACCTCTTCTCATCCAGTGTTGTAACCTCTTGGTGCTGCAGAAACAGACTCCCTCCCAGGCCGGCAGCTGGGTCTAACCCCAACATCTGCTCCACTCCAGTAGGAGGGATGGTGTAGTCCCAGCTTGTCCCATCTGCCAGCCATCAGGCCACCCCCTGCCCAGTGAGTCCTGAGACACAACACTTAAGAAGGGTGTGGGATCCCAGAGAAAACCATAAGCCCAGAGATTTCAGGAAATAAACTTAGAGGGGAGTAAATATGTGTTGATTTATATTCTCACAGAAATCTAAACCTTTTAATGAGCACCTTTCCCTGGAGGGGTTTGTAATATTTTAATTTACTCTCAATTATTGTTGTGAAACTAGTAGTTAAGTAGGCTACTCTGGTTTGAATGTGCGTCTCTTTAAACTGTGCCAGGACAGACAGATATCTGCACGCTACTGAATGCCTCTGAGCTTCCCTTCTCTCATCAGCAAAACACGCAAACAATAGCTACCTTGCAGCTTACTGTAGGTATGCAGTGGCTTAATTGTACATAAAGCTCCTGGAACACAGTAGGCATTAAAAAGAGAAGTGATGGTCTGGAGGAGTCAAATACATAAAACCTCAGGCGGCGAAGATTTTGACCTCCAGGAGAAAGGGAGTATTATTCATTCTACATCTGGAAAGTCCCTGGCTTCTAGCCCTTTAGTAAAATGATAAAATCACTGTTTTTAAGGAAATTGAGTTCAAAGAAAGAGAAAGAAAGGGAGTAAGGGGGAGGGCGAGCAACTGTGTCATTTCCTGTGATAGTAAAGAAAGTTCTTGGAAGCTGAAACTCTCCCGTTAGACTCTAAGCAAAAGTGATGTGGGAGCTAGAGCTATAGAAATTGTTAGCACGTCGAATGAATGAGATTAGGGCAGGTAGTGCCTACAGGACTTCATAGATATCTAGGAAAAAATATCATTGTGAAGCCCCATTATGTGGTGGTAATAGCAACCTCATCTCTATTATCAAATATTCATCAGTTGCAAATCTAAGGCTTTGTGCTAAGTAAGGCAGGGAATAAAAGGATGTCCAAACAGTCTTTAACTTCAGTTTAGATAAAGATAAATAACAACAGCAGTTAGTACACGTTGATTGCAAGTAATGGCATACGTAAGTGCTACAGGATTGTAGAGAAAGAATTATGGAAACAATGCCTACAGAAGGGTAGCGTGGCTTTTCTAATACTTTCTAAGAGTTTCACGCAGTAAAAGGGACCTGAATCAAATATTGTTCTGATTAATGAAGAACAGGGAAGAAAGCTTTCCAGGGAATGGGAGCTTCCTGAAATGCCAAGGTAAGGGATTTAAATTTATATAGAAGTTGATGAAAAGAAAGTTTGTCTGACAAATTGTATTGTATAAAAGTAATTGTAATTCAATGAATGTTTTAACCAATTAAACAGAATAGAAGGCAATGGTGGAAGCCACATTTATATAA